ATTGGCGGACTTCATTTTAAAGCCTTAGCCATGTGAGCAGAGGCGTTGCGCGTGTTTGGTCAGACACAGGCAGAACCAAACAATTTCTCACCTTGGAAGCGCAGACAGCAAATCGGTGCAGAATTTGGGCCGAGCACCAAATTTGATATTTCTCGAGGAGTGCATGGAACAGGCAGCTTTCAACTCACTAGAATGATGCCCCAAGCTCCAGACGCGCTGTGATGAACGGGTAACACCCATTGCTGAAATGACAAGGCATCAGCCGTCAGAGCCAAACATACTGTGCGGTGCGGTTGAATCTCTGATGAATCTCTCGCCTAGAGGTTGAAGGAGCCTCAGCCATGCCTTTTACTCTGATACCTATCTTAACCTTTGTGTCTCGCTGTGTTGAATTGTTTTGTAGTTTAAAACTGAGCCAATGCACTGTCTGGAGGATTGAAAAAGACTAGTTGGCTTGCTGAAGCCAGAATCACTTGGCTTGTGCATGTTGCATAGGACCAGGTTGTTGGCTCAGTCAGTTCTTGTCGAAGAGCAAACGTTCATTTATGCCCAGCATGAGACAACAACAAGTGGTGCAGGATGTCCACCAACAGAAATCTGGCAGATTTCTCCACTATATACTTTGGTCCCAGCTAGCGAATCAACTGAATTTGGACCCCCGCTTGGCATGTAAGTTGAGAGCATGTCAAAGGGTTTCCGCCTGCCGCAAGCTTCTGTTTGAGAATGCGGAAGGGCCATTAAGGCCTGTACGTGATCGTTGAGTGCGCTCTTTCAGACCCGAGCGTTTCTGCCAGCGCAATCTTTCGAGGCAAAATGTTGCTGGGCATCATCGTGATGGCCATTGTCGTGGTTATCACCTGGATCAGCCTGCCAAGCTGCCAAGTTTTGCAGACTTGAACACTTTCTAGCAATGTGTGCTTTTTGCCAGGCACAATAGTGACAAATTGAAATCAGAATGAAAATATATTGATGAATTACATAACCCTCATTAGATTAGATACAAATATAAACACATATACATATATATATATATATTCGTATAGTATATTTAATATCTACATATTAAAATATGATTATGTATATATATATATATTCGAAGATTATATATTTTGTTTATGATTGAATATTGGTTATAAATATATAAACAAAAATATAAAAATAATATTGAATTGAAATATTATATAATATAATTATAGTTGATATTGAAAATCTATAAATATAAAATATATGAAGATATAAAAATTACAATGAATTTTGAAATATCTGGTTTTAATGATTCTAAATTGAAATTTAATTGTTTTGTATTGGTGATTATTGTTGTATGGTTTATTTAAATATGGTTTTATGTTTTATTATTATATTGGTTTTTTTAAGTTTGTGTTTTTTATTATTATAATAATTATAAATAATATAGGTTTTAAATAAAATAATATATATTTTTAAATGGGTTATATATAATGAAACATATTGATTATATTTTATAAGGAATATTTGATTTATTTTTATTTATTATTATTTTGTATTTTTAATAAAATAATAAAAATATTTTTAGGAAGAATATGAATTTTGGATTGATTTTTAATAATTTTTGAATAATGATTATTACTATTTTATTTGTTTTTTTTTTTGAATGTATACTTTTTGAATTTAGATTTGTATATTAAAATTATTTCTTTTATTTTTTTTCGATTAGATTGATTAGGAATATGTATAATAAAGATTGTATTTTTTTTGTTTAATGGTCGAACAGGTAAAAAACAATAATGATTGAAATTTTAAAATATTATTTTGTGAATATTTTATATTCGAAAAGTTATATAAATCAAATAAAATCTTGAATTTTATTTGAAGGAATTTATTTTTTGAAAACAATTATTTTAGAAAGATCATTTTTCAAATTATAGATTATTGGTGTAATTTTTGATATACGAGGATATTTGTTTTTATATAATGAAATAATAGGGAGATTAATTTATTAGTTAAATATATTATTGGATTATTTTTGGTATTTTGAAATGACGATTTAATAAAATTATGGTTTTTGTAATATATTTTGAGGATGACAATTATATATATAATTACAAGTTCATTTAACTATATATTTATTATTTTACCTAGGACATTAATTATCGGTTATCGGGGGGATCTAGATATTTATTATTATTATTATATTAAATCTATATTAAAATAATATATATATATTTTATTGATATATATATAATTATTTAATTATAATGAAATTTATATTAATATTGTTTTGTTATTATTTATTATAGAATTGATTGATTTATATTTCAAAAAAGATATTTAAGTTTTATAGAAATGATTATTTTTATGAAATATTAAATTTTATTAAATTTATATAATTGGTATATTTTATATAATTTATTGAATATATATATGTATTTTAAATTATTTCATATGCATTTAATATTGAGACGATATATTTTGTTGATTCTATGTCCATATAAAGAAGAACCAATAGATATTTGTTTTTTGGTTTAATTTGTAAATATATATGTTTATGTGAGTTGAAGAGAAATTATATATAATATTCATGAGAATTTGATAATATATTGAATATCATTGATTATTTAATAAAAATTATTAATTATAAATTCATAAATATATATATTTCTGAATTTTCAAAAAATAAAATATATCTAAATAAAATTCAGAATCTCCTTCAAATATTAAAAGAAAACAATTATAATGAATATCATCCAATATTAATAATCACAAATTAAGATACATAATAATAATAAATATATAAAAATATATTTAGGAAAGAGAAACCACTTAATATAATAATCTTTTTAGATTTAAAATCTAAAAATTAAAAAATGAAAAATATACAAATATCTTAGAGATTGATAATCCTAATATATGTATTTGAAGATAATGAATTAAAAAAGGAAATGAAAAATGATGGATCTAATATCCATCCTATATCAAATCCAATTGTTGAAAATTCAAGAAAAATTGAAAAGATATAAATATATTATAATTAAGTATTTCTGGAAATTCTTAAAAGATAATTATAAAATAGATTTTGAACCCTCCAAATAAGCCAAACATTACCAAGAAGAATATCACAAGAAATCATGTAATATAATATCTATATTATAATATTATTGTATCTAATAATATAATTTTATTTCTTTGTGAATATTATAATTTACTAAAATATATAATATAAATCTAGATTTTTAATAATTCATTATTTTTTGATTTTGTTATATTATTAATTTTCCTGTTTTTCCCTCAATAGTTTGCTAAATATATAAACTATAAAATTGAAATGGGTTCATTAATTATTCCCATTAATCATTTCTAGAAATTAATTAAGATTTAGAGAATTCGAAAAATACACTATCAATAATAAAAAATATATAAACATATTCGTATAATACAAAACATATCAAAATGCAATAAACCACACCAGAATAATATATATATCGTATTATAATAAAAACATAAATAATAAATATTTAATAATATTATTTATATTATATAAATAAATTATATCAATTCAAATTATTTCATAAAAATGCAAACAATATCATTATCATCCTTATTATAATTATTATTCCCATTATTATCATTATTACCATCATCATAATTATCATCATTATTCCCATCCTTATTATTATTTTCCTTATCATTATCATCCTCATTATCATTTTCATTATTATTATCCAGGTTAATAATCATACCAACACGAGCAATATATTAATTATAATATAAGTAGCATAATAATAATATAAACAAGCCAACAATAATGCAAAACATAAACACATAATATATAATTATATCCGCATCAAACGAATTATATCATATTACCACAAGCCGCACCATAATAATGCAAACCATATTATAATACAGGCCATATCATAATAATGCCGGCTCTATCATACTAATACAGGCTGCATCAACACAAACCGCTACATAATCCAGCCGCATTCGTCCAAAACACCTAATAATACGAACCGAGTCAAGGAAACACCTAATAGCTTTGTGCAATTACTCAACCGCCCGTTTACAAAAGCGCGTAGAACATCCAACAGCGCGAACTACCAAGCGGCTACCCTGAGAAGCGCGCAGAGTATTTGGCAGCGCTAATCGAGCTAAGAATCAATGCTAAGCAGACTGATCGGAGAAGCGTACAAAGCATCTAGCAACCCTTCACCCAACTAATAAAGAAATGATTTCGTTTGCTAAGGGCCGGCCGAGCATCTGGCAACGCTAACCCGAGCCAGGAGAGAAATGAATCCATTTTATCAGCCGCCAGCCGGAGAAGCGTATACAACATATTGCAGCTTTACCCAAGCTAAGAGACAAATGAACTCGTTTGTTAAGCCGAGAAACACCAAGCTAGGAGACAAATAGACTTATTTATTAAGTCGGCCAGCCGGAGAGGCATCCAAAGCAATTAGCAACACCAACCTAAGAGACCAATGAATTCGTTTAATCAGCCGTTCGCCTAAAGACACATACAAAGCATCTACCAGCACTAACAAATTCATAAATTCATTTAATCAGCCCCCCGCCCGGAAAAGCGTACAGAGCGTCTAACAACGCTAACCAAGCTGGGAAAGAAATAATTTGTTTTATCAAGCCAGCCGCCCAAAAAAAACGTACAGAATATCTAATAACTCCCGATCAAAAATATTACTTAAATCACTCAGCCAACTAACCAAACCTAGTAGTAGTAATAATAGTAGTAGAAGTAGTAATAGTAGTAGTAATAATAATAGTAATAGTAGTAGTAATAATAATAATAATAGTAATAATAATAGTAATAATAATATTGGTAGTAATTGTTATTATTATTATTGTTATTATTATAATAATAATAACCACAATAATAATAATAATAGTAATGTTAGTAAAAATAACAATATTATTAATATCAATATAAATAAAACATATATTTTTCTCTTCCTTCTATATTTCTTCTTTTAATATCTCTGTTCTTTCCTTTTTTCTTTCTATCTCTTAATCTTTCTTTTCTTTTCTTTTCCTTTATCATCTCTTCTCATCTCTTTTGTTTATCCATCTCTTTCCTTTTATCCTTCTTTCGTATCTATCCTTCTACCTCTTTCGACCCCTCGACCTATTTAACAAAAAAAACACACAATCAATACCTCAACCTTCATATACTAAGAAACATAAATAAGAAGCGAGAAAGATAAAAAGAAAGAAAAAAAAGAACGAGAGAAATCGAGGAAACAAAGTAAAGCCAAAAACACAAGAAAAAAACAAGAATTATAAGAGAGAGAAACCAAAATCGATAAAATAAATAAACAGCTCTAAAATTCGAGTTCTACCCTTATATCTTAAACACTATCATCCACCAAATTCATCGACAATATTAATATTATCTTTAATTTTAAATTAATCAACCATGAATATATATACATATATATATACATATTATCGATATAACAATATATGAATATAAATTATCCAAAAATACATCTCCAACAGCTTCCCGACATTTAACACGTTTCCGGGCCAAAATTAAATATCCAAAGCTACTGCTACTCCTACTCCTACTCCTACAACTACTACAACTAGTACTACTAATAATGATTATTTAACTATAACACACGCAAAAAACAAGACTACTTTTCAAACAACATCACATGCAATTATATTGAACTTCATTGCTGTTGTGGATATGTTGTAGCTTTAGACATTTCTAGTTCCCATATCATTCGTTCCAACACAACATGCTGCTCGGATATTATGTTCTCATTGTATCCTATTTCATCTAGCATTTTGTAAGATATGCTGAAAGTGACACTTTCTTTAGAACGATGAACAGACCTGTACAACCTGTTCCGGAAATTTCAAAATGGAAACCACACGAGCCCTGGAGCCTTAGGCTCGCAGGATCTGACGGAAGGTCGCGCGCACCGTGTGGCCCGTGGCCGCAGCCGCGGCGCGGCACTGCAGGAAGGCTGCGCCCACGGCGGCACCGCAGGCGCGGGAGGCCTGGCCGGCTGGCACCAGGACCTGGGGCTCGATCCGTTCACGTGGGGATCCGACTTACGAAGGGGAAGAAGGGGGCTTTCTGCTTGGAAAGAGTTGGACAGGAAGAACCAACGCCAATGAGAAACTCGAACTTGTGACAATTCACTTGAGCAGTGTTCTAAACCCAGTTGCGGCCGAAGAGAAATATCAACTCCCTTCCGCGAAGGCTTCCGCGGAGCTGCGGCATGAAAGGTTCCTTCCGCAAGAGGCCGTTTGAGTGTGAGTCATCCAGCTTCCAAGTGAGCGACGTTCTAAAACCCCTGCACTTGAAAGTAGTATTCGCGAGGAAATAAGGTTTTCAAAATGTTGCCTTTTCCCAGGTCGCGGAAGCGACGCGCAAGGTTCGCGGAAGGGGCTTCTCATGTATATGTACTCGCGGAAGCCGCGGAAGGGCTACGATTCAATCATGAAAGCGAGAAATTGTGGCTTTCCTTCACGCGCGGAAGCGAAAACGAACTCCAATCCCATTTCTCAGTCCGCGGAAGCGATTCCCTCTTCAACATATTCGCTCTGTAACACTACCAATCCGCCCACTAATTAAAAGTATCTCTAAATCAGGGTCATGGAAGAGGACCAAGCAATACATGGCAACATCCAAGTGTCTCAGGTTTCTGTTGCAACCCTCCAGAACTTAGGTGCTCGACCAAAGTCAGCCCTGACCAAGTGGCTTCCATCAGACAAATGCCAAACTTATAGTGGGAGGCTACTGGCTGAGCTCATTCAAGGCATGCGGGCCACTCTTTTGCATCGCAAATAGATGGAACTTGGGTGGAGCAGCGCATACAGTCCCTAATTTTGACAAATCTTAAGACAACTGACCAAGGCACCTGCACATAGATCTCGTTCCCAGCCGATACCGTGACGTGCACCATTACACTGCCTGCCGCCATGACCATTCCGGAAGCGACGGAGGCTGAGTGGACGACTGCGCGACCGCAAGGAAGGATGATATAGCAGTAGGTGCCTTTTCTGGTCTAGTCACTGCAAACAAAGAGCCAGCAAATAGGAAAACAACTGCCCATCAAGTTACCGGACAAATGCTGAATTCCAGATGCGGTGCCATGGCCCGCCGCGCAAACAGCTGAGGCAAGGGGCAAAATTGCATGCTCGTAGGTCAAGCTGGCTGCCGTAGCAACACCAGAGGCAATACTCACCACGACGATCCGTCCTGCATTGAGGACTGGAAGCAGCACACACTCGTAGCATGCCACAGCCGCAGCGGCGACTCCGTGACCGATGGCCGAGGCAGACCACGCGAGCCCACGGCCAATAGGCGCGATGGCATAGTGGTAAGCCATGCTGGCAGCTGAAGCCACACCATAGCCAATACCCAGCAGCAGGCTTTTTCCAGCATTGAAGGTGGGAACCAAGACATACCCATAGCACGCGGCAGCCGCTTCGGCCACGCCATATGCCAGACTGCGCGCTGCAGAGGCTATGGCATTCCAGGTGGGAACTAGCACGTAGCCATAGCATGCAACAGCCCCGTTGGCCAAGCCGCTTGCCAGCCTGGATATAGCGTCTGCGGTAGCGTAGGCAAGCGCCTGAAGTGCACGGCCACTGGGTAGAAGTAGGTATCTGTACACAGCTTCAGCCAGTGGTCGTAAGACATAACCTCGGCGCACCCAATGAATTCGATCATCCGCGGCAACATGCAAGTCGAGAGCCACACTGAGCTTCTCGGTATCAAGCTTGCTTCACTTCCAAGACGCCCCACAAGTTTCTTGAGCATCAGGGCAAGGAGATGGGGTCCCCAATTTTTCCCTGTCAGGGCACTGAGCAAACCATGGCCAACCAGCGGTGTCCTCCCCCAAAGCTTCTCTGAACGCTTCTTGCCAAGTGCGTGCAAGTCTCCATAGAGATGTTCGGCGCCGGACGCCATCAGGTTACCCGCAGCTTTGAGAGCTTCCCCAATCGTGGTGGCCGCCGGGGCCAGGACGTGGCTGTACAATCCCACCGCACAGTCGGCGACAAAGCCACCAGCCGCCTTCAGCCCAGACCAAGTGCACTGGGCAGACGGCAGCAAGATGTTGTGGTACGTCCATTCAGCTGCACTGGTGGCGCCATGCCTCGATTGCTGACTGGGGGAGAATCCATTGAGGTATTGGCTAAGTTCCTTCGTCTATGTGAACTGGCTGGGACAAGCACAAACGATAACATCCAAACAAGTTGTACCTGCTCCTTCCCTGCGATTTGAATCAACAATCCCTCGCTCCCCAGCCGTTCAGGATTGCAGAAAAACATTACACAAGTTCGTCTCCGAAATCAAGCCTCGGCTATTGCAACTGCACCAATACACGGCAGAAGGCTTAAGGGAGCTTTCACAAGCCAACCAATGCAACGCTGGGCCAAGAAGCACAACACTTGACTAAGCATTGTCTGTTCATCAAGGCTGGCGTAGCATTCTGATCACATGCCGGTGGTACAAAACTGAAGGCCCACAACAATGTACCAACTGACTTGATAGTCGGAAACACGCATGACACCACAGAACAATCATGGTTCTGTGGGTCGGAATCTGAGCCCACTCGGCTGTCAAGCTGCCACAAAGGAAGCAGCATCTGTTCATGCAGCACTTGGGCCCCGTTGACGAGCTGACGCCCGCACCATCGGAGGCCAGAACCCACAGGGGCCAGCACCCAGTCATAGAAGGTCTGCGCCTCGGCAAAGCTGGGACCTCCCACCTGCCAACTTACCAGTCGACCGTTCAACCCTCTGTCCCCACATACTGCGCCCAGGCAAATGGCGGCCAGTCCAAATTCATCAAGGCATACTCGAAGCAATAGCCTTCATGGGCAGGTTTCCGCTCAGAGTGCATAGTCCTTGTGGATTGAAACCTTTGAGGGTGCTTCCTGCCAGCTCTGCCAACGTGGCCCTACGTATCCAACTGCCCTTTGCTCATTGGCACCACCAAGAACTCATTTCAAGGATCCTTCACCCCGTGTCCCCGTCAAAACATGCTGTGACACATCACCCGCGCTCCACCACGGTTGGCAGAACAACACAAAATCACCCCCTTAGCCCGGACCGCACTTTTTGATACTTCTTGCAGAATGACACAACATCACAAACGATGCATCAGCAAATGCCAAAACATTCTCAGCAACACATGGATGATTCTGCGCAGCTGCTGCTGCGCCAGTGATGTCTGCCAGGAAATTCCCGCACGCCACGGCGCCGTCCCACAACTCTGCCTGGGCCAAATCCAAATAAAACACGTTCATGGAAATTGAATGAAGACGCGTCCTTGCACTACGACGCTCCCTACAGCAACCATGGACATGAACAGTGTTGTTCTTGCTGCTTGTGCAGTTTAATTTTGTGCATCTCATGTGGCAGGCCTTTGACCCCTTTGAAACAAATTGCGCTGCTACTTTGTGGCAAAACTGTCCAAGAAGACAGCCACACCGACAAAACAAGCACGTGTCGCAGTGTTGTGGCTACTGATGTTGCTCATGTTGTTGTTATTGTTGTTTGCTGTTGCTTTTGCTGTTGCTGCTGCTGCTGCTGTTTCTGTTGCTGTTGCTGTTGTCGTTGTCGTTGTCGTTATCGTTATCGTTGTCGTGGTCGTGGTCGTGGTCGTGGTCGTGGTCGTGGTCGTGGTCGTCGTCGTGGTCGTGGTCGTGGTCGTGGTCGTGCTCGTTGTTGTCGTTGTTGTCGTTGTTGTCGTTGTTGTCGTTGTTGTCGTTGTTGTCGTTGTTGTCGTTGTTGTCGTTGTTGTCGTTGTTGTCGTTGTTGTCGTTGTTGTCGTTGTTGTCGTTGTTGTCGTTGTTGTCGTTGTTGTCGTGGTTGTCGTGGTCGTCGTCGTCCTCGTCCTCGTCGTCCTCGTCGTCGTCGTCGTCGTCGTCGTCGTCCTCGTGGTCGTGGTCGTGGTCGTGGTCGTGGTCGTGGTCGTGGTCGTGGTCGTGGTCGTGGTCGTGGTCGTGGTCGTGGTCGTGGTCGTGGTCGTGGTCGTGGTCGTGGTCGTGGTCGTGGTCGTGGTCGTGGTCGTGGTCGTGGTCGTGGTCGTGGTCGTGGTGGTCGTGGTCGTGGTCGTGGTCGTGGTCGTGGTCGTGGTCGTGGTCGTGGTCGTGGTCGTGGTCGTGGTCGTGGTCGTGGTCGTGGTCGTGGTCGTGGTCGTGGTCGTGGTCGTGGTCGTGGTCGTGGTCGTGGTCGTGGTCGTGGTCGTGGTCGTGGTGTGGTTGTGGTTGTGGTTGTGGTTGTGGTTGTGGTTGTGGTTGTGGTTGTGGT